AATAACACTATATAACTTTATATAAATCTTTATAACCGTATATATCACTATATAACTATGTATAATCAATAACTCTACTTAACTCTGTAAAAGACTATATAACCGTATAAAACATATTGTAACTATATATAGTAAATAACACTAAAAAACTATATAAAAATCTACATAACCTTCGAAATACTACTAAACTAAACTGGTTTTTCTACTCGGCTCAGTGGCTCTAAACTAGTAAGCGCTAAGCTTATAAGTTTTAGGATCGTCACAAACTATATATAAATCTATATAACCGTTTATATCACTATATAACTATATATAAGCAATAACATTATACAACTATATATAAATCTATATAACCGTATATATCACTAAATATAACTATATATAATCAATAACTCTACATAACTATATATAAGACTATTTAATCGTTTATAACATAACTATATATAGTTAATAACACTAAAAAACAATATATAAATCTATATAACCTGTGAACTACTACTAAACTAAACTGGTTTTTCTACTTGCCTCAGTCGCACTAAACTATTATGCGCTAAGCGCATAAGTTTTAGGATCGTCACAAACTATTTATAAATCTATATAACCGTATATATCACTATATAACTAAATATAATCAAGAAATCTACATAACTATATATAAATTTATATAACCGTATATCTCACTATATAACTTTATATAATCAATAACACTATATAACAAAATGTATATCTATATAACCGTATATAACACTATTTGACCATATATATTAAATAACTTTACATAATTATATATAAACCTAGATAACCATATATAACACTATATAAATATATATAAATCTTTATAACCGTATATATCACTAGATAACTATATATAATCAATAACTCTACATAACTATATGTAAGACTATATAACCGTATATAACCGTTTAAATTAATTTAACCGTATATAACACTATATAACTATATATAAATCTTTATAACCATATATATCATTATATAAATCTATATAATCAAAAACTCTACATAACTATATATAAATCAATATAACCGTATATATCACTGTATAACTATTTATATTCAATAACTCTACATAACTATATATAAGACTATATAACCGTATATAACATAATATAACTATATGTAATTAATAACACTACATAACTATATATAAATCTATATAATCAATAATTCTACATATCTATATATAAATCTAGATAACCATATATAACACTATATAACTATATATAAATCTATATAACCGTATATATCACTATATAACACTATATAATCAATAACTCTACATAACTATGTATAAGACTATTTAACCGTATATAACATAATTTAACTATATATAGTTAATAACACTAAAAAACAATATATAAACCTAGATAACTGTATATAACAAAATATAACTATATATAAATCTTTATAACTGAATATATCATTATATAACTATATATAATCAATAACTCTACATGTCTATATATAAGACTATATAACCGTATATAACCGTATAAATTAATATAACCGTATATAACACTATTTAACTATATATAAATCTTTATAACCGTATATATCACTATATAAATATATATAATCAAAAACTCTACATAACTCTATATATAAATCAATATAACCGTTTATATCACTTTATAACTATATATAATCAATAATTCTACATAACTATATATAAGACTATATAACCGTATATAACATAATATAACTATAAAAACACTTCAAAACTATATATAAATCTATATAATCAATAATTCGACATAACTATATATAAACCTAGATAACCTTATATAACAGTATAGAACTATATATAACTCTTTAATAAATATATATAATCAAAAACTCTACATAACTATATATAAATCAATATAACCGTATATTTCACAGTATAACTATATATAATCAATAGCTTTACATAACTATATATAAGACTATATAAGACTATATATATAATGTTGTTGATGCTAACCTAGTTCATCTAACTAGACTCGGAAAAAAATCTGACGATCATACTCGACCGCTGCTTTTGAAAATGTATAGTGTTGACATAAAAAACATGATAATTAAAAACGTCTCTAAATTAAAATCGCTTGACGTCAGCCTGGGTCGCATCGGACTCAGTCACGATCTCTCTCCAGAGCAGAGAAAGGAACTAAGGTCAAAGATAGAGGAGGCAAGGGCATTGGAAGCTTCTGACAAGGGTTTTTTATACCGTGTAAGAGGTCAGGTTGGCAAATGGAGGGTGGTGAAATTTCCGGTAACTCTAAGGCTGACCTAGGTATTCAACTGACGAATACTAATGATGTTTGTGGTGATGATGGCGTTCATGGTGACTTTCTGACGACAAAGAGTATTGGTAGTAGTAGTTTTGTTGGTAATGCTTGTGGGTATGATGATGGCCGTGGTGATGATATTAGAAAATATTCGATATCAAATTGTTATGTTAATGATTTTAAAAATTATGGTCATATTAGTGCAAGTGATAGAGTTAGTGGTAAAGATGGTGTTGGCAGTTTTAACATAAAAGATGTTAGTTTTAATTTGAATAATAATAGTAATGTTGTTGGTGGTGAAGATTTTGGTGTTCTCAGTCTGACGCTTGGGGTTATTGGTAACGATTAGTTGGATTCATCTCTCGATGGTAATAAATGTTTAATGATGAAAGGCACTGGCAATGACTTAAATGGTAATGTTATTTTTTGTTGTTGTAATGATGGTCATGGTCTTGATGGTGGTGGTTATTCGATGGTCTGTGGTACTGGAAGCGATCTGAACGTTATTGGAAAAAATGGTTGTGGTAAAGATGATGGTAGTGATTGCGTAATAACAAATGGTGCCGGTAATGATTGTAATGAAAGTGGTGGTTTTAATGATTTAAAAAAAGTAGGTAATAACAATGTAATGAAAGGTGGTGCTGTTGGTAGAAATATTGGTGGAATCAAAAATGATCGGACTAATAATAACTTTTGTGTGGTTAAAGTAAAATTGGGTTTACTAAATATAAGATCGATTGGCTCAAAGTACAACATCATTTATGATTTGATCAGTGATGGTTTGGATATTTTTGTTGTTACTGAATCATGGCATGGTTCATCAGAAAATCCCTCCATTGCGTTATCTGCTCCTCCCGGTTACCGCTTTGTAGATTGTGTAAGAGATCACGACCCTCTTCATGGTGGATTGATAATATTTTTTCGTCTATGTTTGAAATGTAAAAAAATAGCCTTACCTACAGTTACCACATTTGAAGTTTTGGCGGTCAGGTTCACAGTTAATAGTCAGGAGTTTATTTTGCTCGCTATTTACAGACCGGGTTCTGCACAGCCGTCTGGATTATTTTTTAGAGAACTGATTTCTATTCTGGAAAACATTACAGTACTCAGTTCTCGAATTGTTTTAACCGGGGACTTCAATGTGCACGTTGAAAAGACGAATGATCCTCATGCTGCTAATTTAAATGAAATCTTCGATAATTTTCAACTCATCAATCGTGTAAAAGCACCAACACATTTACGTGGTGGTACACTAGACTTGATAGTAACCTCCGAGGATTTTCCAGTTCATGATTGTTTAGTCCATCCAAGTGGAATTTATTCTGATCATAGTTTTATTTGGACTGAACTGTCGATGACTCGAGGATATTTGGTTGGAATTAAAAAAGTTTCTAAAATGTGGAATCAGATGAATGTTGATGACTTCATCAAACTTGTGCTTGAATCTCCACTCTCCAAATCATGTCAAGGCAATGAGGTAGACAAGGAATTGCATTTATTTAACAACGAGTTAAAATCTATTGCTGATAAAGTTGTCCCTATTCGTGCAGTGACCGCCAATAACGTTCGTATGGCTCCGTGGTTTGATAATGATTGCAGGTTGGCCAAGCGTTTGTGCAGAAAAATGGAAAGAAGATACAGAAAAAGTTCACAGTTGATTCATCAAGATGAATGGAAGACTGCGTTGAAGAATAAATCGGAACTTTTCTCTAAAAAACGTCGTCAGTATTGGACAAAAGTTGTTGATGAAAATAAGATGAAACCAAAAAATCTTTGGCGGGTTGTGAACAGCATTCTTTGCAGGGGTCGTAACGATAAATCCTGCTCGGATATGGATGAACTAACACCTGATCGATTTATGTGTTATTTCAATGAAAAGTTAAGCAAGCTGAGAGATAGTGTCAACAATGATGCTCAACCGAGCCTGGCAGAATTCCAATCAGGTGTCAGTAATAGTTTGTTCTCAACGTTTTCTATGGTTTCTGAAGAGGAGGTAATACAGTTAGTTCAAAATTCACCTACAAAGTCGTGTCAACAAAATGTAATACCTACCCACGTATTAAAGAAGTTTATAAAACTATTCGCACCATTTTTGGCAAGCCTGATAAACAGCAGTTTAAATGTGGGACAGTTTCCTTCTGGCTGCAAGCATGCTATCATAGCTCCGCTGCTGAAGAAACATAATCTAGACGAAAATGATGTTGGGAACTACAGACCAATTTCTAATCTGTCTTTCCTATCCAAAATTATCGAACGTGTGGTTGCCAGGCAAACACTCAGTTACTTGAACAATAACAATTTATTGCCGAAATATCAATCTGGATTCCGTCAGTACCATTCGACAGAAACTGCTCTTTTGCAAGTTTTCTCAGAAGTGTACGGGGCAATTGATGAACAAAATGTGGCAATGCTAGTCTTTCTTGATATGTCATCCGCATTTGATTGCGTAAATCACAAAGTA